GGGGGGGATGTAACATTTCTCCCCAAATCCGTTAATCCCCCACTCAACTGAACTTGTGAGACCTGCACAGAACGCTTCACCAGACATAAAAGACACCCAAAACCCATAAAAGTGACCTCGGTCAAGCTCCCATAACCTCTGTCACTGACCCCCCGACCCTACAGTTGTCACCACGAGAAAGCACATGAACCCCTCGGAGGACATCATAGGTGTGACGCCCTGAATTATTCACATCCTTGGTCAGTCTCTCAAACGACCGCTGCCCATTACCCATAATCCCCCTGGGAGGTATGGTTCTGGGACGTGATACAGGGCAAAAAGCCGTGGACATTTTCATAGGAACAAATGTGTGCCTAGCTTAAAGCTGGCTTTGTGGGGGGTTGGTCCTGTTTAATCGATTGTAAATTGTTACTGAATGAAAATTTTTACGCCCTATTTCTAAGTACTCGTATTATATACAAATGTACACCTAAGGATAGAAAGGTGTATGCTTCGACACATGAAATTGTGGAGACGTTAGTGAAATATGGGGTATGGGAAAGAACGGAAGAAAGGAATGTGTGTCAGATGGACGAAAGGACAGATAGTCCTTTTAAAAGTGCTGAACCAAAATCAGACCTGCACACCGTTAGCTCGGTTGGTGAGCTATGGTGCAAATTGCAAATGGCCCGGGTTCGTAACCCTTACCAGGTGCTCTTGAACTGCAGCTGTTATGGCGTTTTCCAAGATTTTTCACCTATTTGGCTCAATCTTATCGTTGATGGTCATTAAATTCGGAGGTCCCACGTCTTAAAACAATCCCAACAGGGTTGAAAAGGGTGTTTCAACCCACATGCAAGTGTCAAGCTCACAACAACATTTGACATTCTCCCCAGTAAAAATCCGTTCTACTCCAAGCCGCCAGCCTCGACCCTCATCCTTAACGACTCTATTATTTCGACCCTGAAGAGATCTATTTGACATTATCCCTGCCAAACAAATACCAAAGTGTGGAAAAGCTGAGTGCATTTAAACAGATCCGTTTCGTTTCAATGGCCACTCAATTCAATGCCTCTCGGGAGTCCGTTCATTCAAGGATTTTATTTCATTTTTTCTGCGAGTTTGTATTCACACCGGAGTCATGTCATTCATCGACATACGTAAGCGTCTACGTACACTCAGCTGAAGGGAATTCAACACTAAGAAAGGCAGAAAAAAGGGCAAACATTTGGATTTTCTGTGAGCTGTAATCAATGAGAGTGAGGAAACGAACCGTACTTTTTTTATACACGTCATTACAGTTGTTTTCGTCGGAAGCGAATCTGCTTACTCATCTATACGACAATCGGGGGAAAAGTACAAAATCTGCTGGGTCTTTCTAATCTTTTGTCGAAGATGGGTTTTTATCATCGTGAGACTAAACCCATGTCTCGTTTTACGTGGATGATCTCACGTCAATGGTTAAGAGTGTTCTTTTTATAAAGAAAATGACGAGGTTGTGTCTTTAGAGAATTGTTGGGGTTGTTTTTTTTTAAAGAATAAATGGAGTACTACAAAAGCATAACAACTTCCAACAATGTGAGTGTACATGTGTGAGTAAGTGTGGGTATGTTGGGAGGGAGGTGTTTGGAAACTATTTGGTAACGTAGCAACAACAGTGCAATGTTCGGACAAGATATGAATAACCCCCCCCCCCCCAAAAAAAAAAATGATCTAGTAGTGCTTACGTTTTACTACTCGGTCGAAATATTGAACGTAATTCAGGGCATGCACAACAAACAAAATGTGCCACCTATCACACAATTCAAGAATACAAGAATCCAAGTAGATTACCGTCAATCCTTTCCAACACACGATTACAAAAGACAAAGCAAGCTGCTCAAGAATAACAACAATTCTCTATAAAATTGGGGGACAGATAGACAGACATACTTGTAAACAGTTTCACGAAAAAAAGGGCTGTGAAAAAACAAGAGGTTTACGTAGGAAAAGACAGAAGACATACATACAAAAAACAACCACAAACAAAAGCAAAGAATCGTTAATGTCAGACAGGTAAAAGACACACACATGGGAATGAAGACAAGAGACAGACAGGCAAGCATAAAGACAACGAACAGACAAAAGAAATATACAACAAACAAACAAAAAACAAAACGACAGAAGAGCAGATGTTATGCACACAGACAAGAAAGCAGAAGTGGGCGGTGACTCACCTGCTCTGGCTGTAGACCAGGCGGCACCCAGGCGAACTCCTCCAATGGGCAGCCGCTATCGTCGTCGGAGGTGGAGTTACGCTTGGGGTCTCGTGACGCACGCCCCGCCCCCCGCGAGGCGCCGCCCCCAGCCTCATCCCCGCCCACGCTCATGTCGTGGACTTCAGGTGGACACTTGCAGTGGCGACAGATTTTTCTGCAAAAAGGGAACAAGACAACATCGATGAAGATATTGACAGGAGGGTGTGACGAGTGTGTGTGTGTGTTTGTTTGTGTGTGTATTTATGTGTTTGAGTGTGCGTGCGTGTGTGTGTGAAATCTACATCATAAATCCGAATCCATTGTCTACAAGCGCCATTTCTAGTGCTACCAATGTGTATCGCGCAATATGATTCCTTAGTAGACAACACCCCTTCGCCACATCCAAAACAAATCCAAAAAACAGCAACAACCAATAAATATACCCAAAACAGCACAGAACAACGGTGACCAAACCATCCTATCGATGCCCCCAAAAAAGAAGACATAAAATAAATATTTTTTTTAAAACACAAGTCCTGTCGAGAAAACCATCTCAACGATTATGATAATGTATAAATAACTTACGAAGAGATGATGAATGGAAAGACAGACTGGAAAATGAAAAATAATGAGTAATAAAAATAAGTAAAAAATACGTGAATAAACAAAAATATTAATAGATGAATCATAAATGGATAGATTGATGGATAAATAATAAATGTAATAGGGAGAGCCATCAATCAGTCAGCATCTGATCTGCCAGATAAGCTATCTTCAAAACATGAAGCGATTGGCCATCTTTGTGTCGGAGCCAGGCAAGATTCCAGATTACACCCAAGCCCTAGCGTCAGCAAATTAGGGCACGGCATCTCTCTCTCTCTCTCTCTCTCTCTCTCTCTCTCTCTCTCTCTCTCTCTCTCTT